AATACAGAGATCACCTGCTGGGTGTCGGTTTGTGCCGCCCCCAAATGATAGAACCCGCTGGGTAATAGGTAGGACTACTGGATGTAGTCAGCAAGGCTTTTTTATAAGTTCCTTTGGCGTCAAACCACGGCATTCTCTGATCTATGGCGTTTCTCCAATAAAATTCCCAATCGTTAAACTTTCTTATCACTTTTACTCCTAGCCTGTTTGCGTATTTTCAGCCGCTATGAAGTTGGTAATTAAAAGACTCGAAATAACTAATTTAAGATGATTTTTTCCTGATTATGATTTCAAGATACAAATTGGATAGAGATATAGTACACATTAAGTTAATTTGACCTGCAGCAGATCTTTTGTTTAAGTCCCAAAATTATGATGCGTATTTTGATGAAATCCCTGATAATTTTTTCAGATATTTTGTCCAGAGTTCTTTTATGAAGCCTTCAGAAACAATTTCTCTGAACGATTTGTTAGGGAGCAATGGCGTTATTGAAAGTCAAAGAATTCCAGCGGATAAAAAAATTTTTAAATGGAGTGGACTGATTTTAATTGTTGAAATTTTGAAGTGTTAAAACCGAATACAAAAGCAGATAAACCTAAATATCTCTTTTAGTGCCTGGCTCCTTTCCTTACATGATGATTTACCATTTTACACAACCACGAAAGTTTGCCATCTGTGAATGGCTGACCGGAGGACAGTTTGTATCATCGCTTCCTAAGCTTCACATGAACATATTTTTGAGCAATATATGTATTGAAAATTACTCACGTGAAAATTACTCACGTGAAGCGTCATTATAGATAATTTCAAACATCTTTGTCAATATCCAACCTGTAGGAAGTAGGAGCCCAATGACGCCGAGTATTAGCGTCCAACATGTACTGGAATGTTCCATTACTACTGAGGTCTTTAATACCATCTGCTAAGTCTAAAATTGAGTAATCTCGGTTCAACCCTGGATGTAGTTCATTTCTGAAAATATCAAGGAAAGAGACTCATACTGTTTAAAAGACGTGGACTGTCCTTCAACTATGGACGAACCAAGGATAATAAAATATGGAATATAATAAGCTTGTTTCTTTACTGAAGCGATGAAACATGAAACAGATCTATGTAATTTTACAAAAAAAACAACAACTGTTTTATTAAGCAAAAAAAAAAATACAACCATCCAAACAAAAAGAAAACAAACAAAAAATAGAATACATCTCGAGACATTCATCAATTTTTTTTTCCAAGGTACCGGTGTGTGTGCATTTTCGGTGAAAATATATTAAGTATTTTTTCGTGAGCCTAAAAAAACTTCACCCTTGTTATGTTACCTGTGAGGGACCTGTTCCCGGGTCCAATTGTTGTGAGCACTCGTTACAATAAGAGTGAAAGCTCCTTTAGCTGTTATCATATCGCAGTAAACCGGGAGATACTGGGTATCACTGACTTTAATCAGCTGGAAGCTATCCTCTTCGTACTTGATACCAGCTCTCACTCCATGTATTTTATGGTCATTGCAAGACAGCCTAATAAGAGTGCAAAAGTAAAAGTTATACAAACAGTTTCTGTAAAGTAAAATTCGGTATGATCTACTGTTCTAGCAGACAGCTAAGTTGCACTGGTTCCCATTAGTGTGGACAATTTGTCCCTAAATATTACTGCAATCAGCATGCATGTTAATCATGAAATAACCTTAATGAAGTTGGCTGACTATTCTTGCAAAACAGACATTGCTTGAAACACTATTTATAATACACGAGGGTAACGCTCAACACCTGAAATAGCCTTTACCAGTTTCCACCATTTACAGCCGTTACATCATACGCCTGTCTTAAAAAAATATCATCAAAAAAATTTGCCAATAAATCCTGAGAAGAACTTTAACAAACATTTATAGCATGCAGAATTTACCTCGCTCCTTCTCTCATCCAGTATCTCACGACACGCGGGTTTGGCTTCTCTTGCTGTAGATACGAGGCGGAGCTGGCGCTACTGTTATACACCAAGGACCCTGAAGGTTCATCCACAGTTGATGCACTGGTTAATAACAGATCGCCAGATAATCCCAGTCTGGGCATGCGCTTTCCTAAGTTGCTCTTCTCATCCCAAGAGTCAAACTTCTTTACAATTCTCACGTTGGTTTGTTCGTCGCTGGTAGCTAGGAATGTGTAGTCACGTGGTGCTTCCCATATCCCTCCCCAGCTTCTTTTGTCATCGGCTTCCATTCTGTATTGAAATAATTCCTGTTTAAAGCAAATAAGTGATGAGAAAACTGCAAAAAAAAGCATTGAAGCTAATGATTCAAAGTGAAACTGTCCCCTATGGGTTTTTCACCGAGAAAAATAATAGCAAGCCATCAGTCCACTGTAAAGACAGTATTAATCTGGAGATCTGCCAAACTTTTGTCGAAAGCAAAAGTTCTCGTAACATTTTGTCTCAGACAATGATAAAATTTCCCTAAAAATATTTATGGTTTGCCTGTAAGGCAAACGAAAACTAAAGAAGAGCTCTGAAACTAGGAAAGTATGATATATTAGCTTTCATTTATGGCGGACTTCACACTTTGATTGCGTTCTTCGGTGTTAGGGTGACCACTGGGTTCAGTCGGCTTTTTAAACAATAAAATAACGAAATGTTTATAGATTCATTGATCTACCTGAGCTTTGTCAGAGTCCTTTATGGCGTCTGCAAGCCCCAGTATGGAATAGTCGTCTTGTAAGGAAGGTTTGTCTGAGTTTCTTTCTTTGATGTTGTCTTCGTCCCACCCCCGGTGGTTCTTACTTGTCACAAGTAGTGTCCAGGGTCCTCCTTCGCTTGTGAAATCACAGAGCGTTTTGACTTCATGCTGTCCAGGAGGTTTGATTGAGAATAAGCCATCTGGAAAATTAAAAACAAAATATCAGTCAAAGACAAAATAGATCGAGGAAGAGCTTTAGATTAGTAGAGAAAGTAAAGCGAGTTTTGTGAACCAACCACTCAGCGAAGTAGAGCAAGACCAAAGCATCCTGGATTACTGTTGCCACCCAGTTATGAACTACTCCAGCACCTCTCAATTCAGCTCGGTATCAGAAAAGGAAAAAATTGTAGCAGGTTACCGGCGGCTGACATTTCATTTTTAATTTGTTAGGCTTTTCAAAAAGGTATTCACTTGGGCAACTCGAAGCCCCAAGCATAGAGGTAACGAAATTGTCTAGACCAGTAATAATTGATACTTATACGGTGAGTTCCACCGGCAGTGACTTTAATGAGCCGCTTGAACCTAAATATAGTTTTCCAAAGAATGAGCAGTTGGTGATTTAGGCTAGGAGATAAGGGAGTATCATGACTATGTCATCCCAGCGACGCAAAACACGAAATACTAAAACAAAAATTGTAACTTTGTAAGGGAAAGCACCATAAATGTGGTGAATGAATCTCGTCACTTTTCAGATGTTGTCTTTTTCACAGAAGTCATAAGTCTTGTTTGAAACCGCAACTTCCTTTAAAAAATATGCGAAAAAAATTGTAAGGGCTAAGTGCTCTTTAGGGGTTTCGGAGTTACTTTAAATGTTCGCCAATTCCAGGGCAAGCAATTTGACCAACCTGACACTGACTTTGACAAAAGCCCCCTGAAGTATACTTCTTTGCAAGAAGTAGGAACTTTGTAAGGTCCTTCTCTCATCCAGTACCAGATATATGATGGCTGATGCTCCATTAGGTGACCTTTGATCCAAGGAGCGGGATGATAACCTTTATCATCACCTGAAACATGACACGTATACACTGGCAATTATACCCTATTCATTTTCAATTGGTGAAAGATTTAAAAGATTTTTAGGTCACTTTTTGCGATGGTCGTTTTTTCTTTTTTTTTTTTTGCACCTGTCAATTCGCCCCCTTAACATAGTTCGATAAACTTTAGCAAAAACCTCACCTCGATAAACTCAGAAATTGCTTCACTAAATCTAAAAAAGTGATGCTTGGAGGTCTTGGCATGTGCGCAAAAGACTCTAAAGATGAAAAAAATATTTACTATAAGAGTCGGTTTCGTGACTTGTACCTGTTATTGTTCCTTCCCATTTGTAAAAAGCATCTTCTGAGGTTGTTAACCTTGCTCCGGAAATCCATGGCATTCTTTGTTCAATACCACTGTTTGCATATTTCCAATTGTCAAATTTCTTGAGAAGCTCAACTCTTGTTTGTTTGTTGTCCTCAGCGGTGAAAGTGTAACCTCTTGGAGCCTTCCATACACCTCCCCAACGGTCTACAAAATATCACTTCAAACAATTAAGTCCCTGAAAGCATAGCAGTCTGTTTTCACTATGCGAAGTTCTAGTTGCTGTTGGTAACTTTCGTCTGATTTCATCTATTTTGAAGATGTTTCATTAACTCGAATGTCTCGAGGCTAGCGTTCGGCTCGTTGGAATACCCCACTTTTAATCATTCAAAATTTTGAAAAGTCATTTTAAAATCCCATAAGTTTAATTGCATGTGATAAATAATATTTTTGGAAAGTGTTATTAGTGACCACATCAAAGGACGATACAAACTTAAGAGCTGCCTTCAGTACTCGAATATGAATAGCCATCTTTACAGTACCTGGACTTTGCGCCTCTAGTCGATATTCAAACTTGGATCCAGCCACGTTGATGTTATCCTTAATACTGTCTGCATACTGCAGGATGGAATAATCATTAGTAAGCTTTGGAGAGTTCGAGTTTTTTAACCTCACATTTTCTGCCGTCCAGCCGTTGGTGTGACTAGTGACCAATAGTGTCCATCCCCCACCATCACGTGACATATCACAGTATGCCATGATTGGCTGAGGGCCTGTGGGGTAAATCTTGCAGACGCCATCAGGATAGTCATGATTCTGTTCTTTCCCAACTTTCTGTAAGTGATGGCATGAAATTACCACTGAAAAAAGATAAAAATAAAAACAGTGGTATTGACGTCACAGTACAACATTTAGTTTATGTATGTGAATGATTGCTACGACGTACCATAAGCTAGGGAAAGTGAGGCCAGTTCTGTCATTTAAAACACTGTGGATCAGATGGTACTTGCTATCTGGTACTTTTGGCCATTTTCCACTCAAATGGCTTATTTCATGCTGAAGGGGTATTGATTTACAGAGCGCAAAGCTTCAAATTATTAAGTTTTTTGAGGTTCAAGAGGAAAGTAAACTAAACATTTTTCCCTCACCAGGACAACTCTCTGTGTTGCAGCCCTCCTTTTCGTGTCGTTCTCCTGGGCAGTCAGCTCCTCCATGTAGGGGAAAGGGATTGTTGCAGAACCGATGTCTTCTTCTCTTTCCACCATCACAGCCCTTATCACACTCAGTCCATGAGGACCAGTCACCCCAGGCTCCATCACGAGGTATAAGTTCTGCACAAACAGTTCTTCAGTGAGTATGAGTCGCAACAATCATAATAATCAAGGTACTGTAACCAGATATAGCCAGAGAATCTAGAGGAACATTTCACTCTCACCTGAGTTACAACTGTCTCTGTGATCAAATCCTCCCTTACAATGGCATTCCTTTTTGTTAGTACAGATCTGAAAAAAATCACATTCGAATGAGAAAAGGGGATTGCTCCATGCGAATTAACCTCCTTCTGTTTGCCACCTAAGACTTAAATTCTTTCGACGGATATTTTCCTAACAAAGCTTCTAAATACTGTAGTATTGTGAATTGTCACATTTATTATAAATTCTCTATATTAATTACTAACCCCTCTTCCTGCGCACTCCTCGTTGTTGACCGACGGACAGCGGACACTGATACCGAGATCATCAAATGACTGGCACTTGTAATCGATGCACATCTTAAATACATGTGAAATTTGATGAACCAACCCGTTATTGACAAGGTTATAACGAAAATGCACAGACATTGTATCTATATCGATTGACACACATACTGACATGGGGAGGTTGACCAAAAAATAATTTCAGAGATTAGCATCTCGTCACCGAAGAACTTGGGAATCAAGAGGGGTATTTTACCAGTAAAAAAAATTGTCACATATAGTTCTTAATTAACTATTGTACTGTACCTTATTGATTCCACATTTTGTTCCTTCCCTAACCATTCCTTGACCGATTTCGTCATCTAACTTCAAGACTGCAGCACTGGAAAAAGTAAAACTACGTTTGACTACTTACATTCGTACACAGTTACAACAAAATTGCTGCAAGCAAGTTTTCGGTTTTTGCAATTTATCTTACTTAGGATTTGGGCGAGTTGATTGAGCGGAAGACAATTAAAAGCTTCTTGAAGTCTGGTAAGACTCAAACCAGAAAAATCATTATACTTCACTGTTTTATAAAGCTTACAGCTATTGTGGAAACAAAAAGGAGGAGGGAATAAGAGAAACACAGAAAACAATAAAGACCTGCATTTATTCCCATCATCCAAACGTATTTTGGTATATGACCTTCCATAGTCAACAACTGGTTTGGTTTTGCTGTCCTCACACTGTAGTTGGCCACATAAGACGTCACTGAAAGAAATTCATTCATCAAAAATTTCAATGTAGCCAGTTGTGTCTGAACATTGATGGTTAAGTTTGATATTCTGCGTTTACTTGAGACTCTTTGACATTTTACCTAGCTGAGGAGGAAAATTTGCAGCTGGAAGATTTTGCACAGGCCGATTTTGGCCGTGAAATTGAGTAGATTTCTCCTATTGGTTAGGAAAAAGACGTTAACCGAGAATTTTGTAAATTAGAAGTTATGCACATTGTTTGTTTTTGTACTGATTAAACGCATTTTTCATCTTGAGCCTTGTCGTTCGCGCGCTTTAGGAATTCTTTTCATGAATTGTTGACCTTATTTTTGTTTTCGTTAATTCATAAAGTTGATTTTCCTTGTCAAGGCCAATTATGTTCATATAATAGGATAATACATTGTTTGCTTATAGATATGTAATTCTTCTTCTCGTGTTCAACTCAATATCCCACTCGTTCACTGCGCTCACTAAGATATCGAGTTAAACACCCAAAGAAAACACCACATCTACGCACGTCCATGTACTATCCTCTATTTAAAATATAGTGCTGCAGTGAGACTTTCCCGTAAAGAAGATTTGGATAATTGTTTACTTTTTCCAGGGGATGTGCGGAGCTTGATTTAAAAGTTCCCAGGACTTTCTCCTCCGTAAATTTTTTTGGTGCTCCTCTCGCAAATGCCTAACTATAAAGTGCACGGTGTACCTTGCAGTGCATGATGAATTGGTTGCTGGATCACATGTACCTTATCCAGCGGCCTCAGTGTTCAGTTTTTCGTAGCATCCTTGATCAGCGCTTTGGGCGGCTGAAGTTAAAGAAAGTAATGATACAAAAAGGAAATGATATATAACGGAGAAGCTCCAAGTATCCAAGACACAAAACGGAGGGTTACAGGCTGCAATACCACGGTTAGTCTATATTTCTACAAATTATAAAAGCATCAATGAAGTGTGACCTAGTGAATGGGTTGGTTAATATAAGTTCCCTGCTGAGCACTTAGGGCTAATGTCTTTTTTCTCCCGTAGCTTTTGAATGACTAAAGACGTAATATTCTATAGAACTTGTATCTGCTATTGTACCAGATGATAACCATTTGCGCATTGAAGGACCTGGAGAATTTCGTCTTATTCATAAACTATTGTAGCCATTAGATGGAATGAGGATTACTTTTTTATTTACTACATTGCGATCGATAAAGCTGATAAGTGTACCTCAACATAGTCACAGGTACTTACTAGCTCCCCATAAGTCCTTGCACTGAGTTTCAAGAATTTCGCTGCACTTGCCAAGATAACAGTGGGACTGAGATAAGAAAGAAATAGACATTTTTTTTCTTTTTTAAAGAAAAAGATGACAAATAACAATGATTTCCAAATGAACATATGACATACATTAGAGTGCTGTTTGTCCCCACTCTCAGAATAACTTGCCCACCGCTGACCATCATCACTGTAGTGTAAGAAGAAGCCAGTCACCCAGTGCCTCCAGGTCCCTTTTCCCTGTATGAGGACTTTGCTGACAGTTTTGATCTAAAAAAAATTGTGAGAATACCCAAAAATAATGTACATAAGTGCAGCCGTAATCATGTCTCTAATTTTGGGCGAAATTTTTGTTAAGCAAGAGAAGTTGAAATCGTTGAAGGTTAACACTGTTGCTTATTAAAGTGGCTGGTACGCTTGGGAAAATTTTTTAAGCTAGCAAACCAGAATATAAGATTGACTGCATTTTATCATACGTAATGCTTGTTGTTGAACCCGGTCAGTTTCTCAATGAAGCCGGGAAAGTAAGTTGTGCTGAAACTAAAATTTGTTACCGACCAGATGTCGTTAATGTTGGGCAACATTTATAAGTCGTAAAAGAGTAGCACTATCGTATTTCTGATGCTTAGAGAAATTAGCAGCACGCTGGTTAGAATGATATATTGGCTATATCTCATCGCCAATAATGCTTGGCATTACATCAAAAACCATTTTTTTTTTAGATTGACTGGATCAGTGTCCCAATGTAGCCAGTAGTGAGACTGTACGTTTTGACCAACAATTCCTGAGAGCGGAAAAAGGAATTTATGAATTCCAAAGCAGATACTAACATTTATACCCTTCAACCTCAGCGAAAGAAAATTAACCTAACTTCAGGAAACTAAGGCAACAGTTTCAGATCCAGTAGTATTGTATAAATGGCCACCATTATTATTATGTGTTTTAAGTGGAAAACACAACAACTTCGTTTATTACAACAAATATGTATACCTCTCCAAGATCAACTTGTAAATACTCGCTTTTACTCTTCTCTGCAGCACACCAACTTTTTCCCTCTAAATTGAGCCTTGCATTATAAGCAGGTTCATTCTTTCCGGCGGAGGAAGCAGTGATCTGGCTGTCTTTGATCTCTCCGTTCTGCATTCCGAGTGGCTCTACACAATCTAGAACGATAAAACATGTTACGATATGGAATAAATACATACACATTAATCATGTACATACCTCTTAGTTCGAGGACCGCACTGTAAATGATGAACTTGAATTAATGACCTGACTATGAAGCGAGCAGAAATCCGAGAGAAAAAAATGAGAATTTATTACTTACATTAGGGACCGAGAAAACGAGGTTAGCGCGATATTTAT